TTCCTTGTTGCAGATTTCGGAATTTGCATTTGATTCTGACGCTTGCCCGATATATGCCATATGCTCCTATATTGACACTGTTGAATTATAGAATTGAACATTCTGTTGCTCTAAAGCTTTGCAAGCCGTATATGTGGTTAACTGTCACATATAGGTATAATATGGCAGAATTTTGATATTGCAAAAGTAGGTCCATTGTAGAAGAAGTTGACTGCCACTTGTAGAGCTTAGAAATCATAAAACATGCCTTCATGGTGGAGGAAGTCCTCCTCCAAAGATGTCAAGAAGAAGACAAGCAAAGAAAGTCTTATTGATTCCTTACACCGTAGATTTAAGATTCCCACAGAAGGTAAAGTAAACAATCGAGCAGGAGGGTCAAGAAGACATTTCAATGAAACAGTGTCAGAGAAGGGCTCTCAGTCCCGAGCAGAGTCTAGATCACCATCACCTTCACCTTCCAAACAAGTATCAAGGTCTCAAAGCTTTGCAGATCGACCTCATGCTCAACCGCTTCCTCTACCTGGGCTGCACCCTGGAAGTGTGGGCCGCACAGATTCTGGCATTAGATCACCGAAACTGAGGTCAGAAAAAGGCTCCAAATCCTCGTTGATTTTGCCTAGACCGGCACGTATTTGTAGTCGGCCAAATCCTACAGATTTAGAAGGAGATTTGGTCACTGCTTCAGTATCCAGTGAGAGCTCCATTGATACTGATGATCCTGGTGACTCTCGCCACCGCAGTCCCCAAGCAATTGACTGTGACAATGGCAGACCAGCTGCAGGTAGCCCATCCAGGTGAGCTTATGTTTTTTTTTTTTGGTTGGATTCTCTGTTGTTTTTGATGCGCTGATGATTCTCTTACTGAAATGAAACTTTGCTGTCCACTTTATTTCATTTTTGGTTGAAGGGTGCTGCTCAAGGATCAGACCTGTCCGGTTGTCCAAATAAACTGTAGAGACACAAAAAAGCCAGCCAATATTTCATTCATTAATCATGTCTCCCCTACATCACCGAAACGGAGACCTTTAGGAAGTCATGTGCCAAATCTACAGGTTCCATATCCCGGTGCCTTCAGCAGTGCTCCAGACAGTTCTATGTCAAGTCCTTCCAGAAGTCCACTGAGAGTGTTTGGCACTGATCAGGTCATAAATTCTGCTTTCTGGGTGGGGAAGAGTCACCCGGATGTCACTTTACTTGGATCTGGCCACTGCTCCAGTCCTGGATCTGGACAAAATTCTGGACACAACTCGATGGGAGGGGATATGTCTGGACAGTTATTTTGGCAACATAGCAGGGGTAGCCCTGAATATTCTCCAATTCCTAGTCCAAGAATGACTAGCCCTGGGCCAAGCTCAAGAATTCAGAGTGGTGCTGTCACACCCATTCATCCTAGAGCAGGAGGAATGACCATAGAATCGCAGGTAAGCTGGTCAGATGATGGGAAACAACAAAGCCACCGATTGCCACTTCCTCCTGGAACAATCTCCAATTCTTCTCTGTTTATTCATTCAAATTCAGCAGCAACATCTCCCTCAGTGCCACGAAGTCCAGGAAGAGCGGAGAATCCTGTAAGCCCTGGATCTCGCTGGAAAAAGGGGAAGCTACTAGGTAGAGGCACTTTTGGGCATGTCTATGTTGGCTTTAATAGGTACAGACCTTCCCAAAGAGAGGATGCTTGGTTTTCATGTCTTTACTCTTATATATTTGTGGATGTATGCTATCTATGGTTTTGTGGTTTATTTGATCGCATCTTCAATTTTGTCAACATTCTACAATTGTTTATTTAACGAGTGACTAAATTTTCACGTTCTTTCTTTTAAAGTTAATTAGTAGAGTTCTTGCCGTCTAATTTTACTTTTCCAATTTGTTCAGTGAAAGTGGTGAAATGTGTGCAATGAAAGAGGTTACATTGTTATCTGATGATGCTAAATCAAGGGAAAGCGCAAAGCAGTTGATGCAGGTGAGTTGATTGCATGCTATCAGATGTGAAATTAATAATCATATATTGCTTCCTTTGTCAAAAATACTCACTTGATTTCTTCTTGTTTATACATAAATATAAAATATATATCTAAAATTTGACCAAGATTTGAAAAGGACCTTACCAAGCCTTTCTAACAGGAAATCTCTTTATTAAGCCGCTTACGACATCCAAACATCGTGCAGTATTATGGTACTGAAACAGTGAGTTTTCAATCTGGTTACTTTCATTGTCTATTTTATTCATATGATGATGATGATGATATGAACTATTTAATGATCGAAGTTTTCGTGCATTTTATTATT